AGCGTAGGGCTCGAGACCACCAAAGCTAACAGTGTTATTTGATTTGTGTGTGTGGTGGGAGTGACTCTCAGTGCCACCCATTGTTCCTGGCCAAGTCTCTACACCAGATTTGTTTCCAGACCGCATGCATTCAATCTCCATTAAGACGGCATCCACACAGCTAGAGACCTCCTCGACAGAACCACGAACAGATGACAGGTACTCCCTCAAGTCTGAAATCTCCTCTTGAATTTTGTTGATCCCTCGCAATTCCTTCAGTATGTGCTCAACGATAGCACTTGATTCTTCCTCTTGACAGTCCTCATTATTCCCCTCCATGACTTCATCCAGCATCGTCATGCACAGAAGAGTATCTGTCTGTCTTTTTGGCTCACCATCAAGCCCTCTTTCAGATGAAAACCCAGTCCCATTTAGACCTTGGGTCATTTGGTTTTGAACTACTGTTGAATTACTATTATGCTGCAAAGTGCAAGGAATCCTGATGCCTCCTTCTCGATTTAGTTCCACTTCCCCAACGCAAGGTGCCCCAGAAACTGCTCCCAGCCCATGTCCATTTGGCACCTGAGGTGAGCAGCAGACCTCTGCTGAAGCTAATCCTCTCCTGTCGTAATTCTGCAATTTTTCAACATCCTCTTCCCCCTCTTCATCCTCTTCTTCAATTCCAGCATAGTAAAGACCAGAAGGCTGGACAGTATGATCTGCAGATCCCTGCAAGAAACGATGAATTTTCCCACGCAACACCAGAGCAACTTTGGGATTTGGCTGTCTTCTCTTTGGCACTGCAGTTTTCTTTTTGGGTCGGGGATACTGAGGGACACCCGTGCCATCCTGACCATTGCAGCGGTTGCGGGAGAACATTGCTTTTCCTCCCTTCTTCCGTGCTGTAGAGATGAATCACATTACTCAGGCTTGAAATACAGCATCTGATGATATAAGTGACAGATTATCAGTCGACTTAAGCAGGGCTAAACATGCGACTATGGGGGGAAAGTACATTGTAAAGCATCACACCGGTGCAAATTTACAGATTTGGTTAAGAAAAGTAAATGAATGATTATGCATTTGGTAATATACTATCAGTTTAATTTAGTTAATTTCCTCCCTTATCAAAGTTTTGTCATGTATTTGCAACAACACAAAGTAATCATCAACACAGAGAATTTATCATATGCATCTCTATTCTGACCATCCCAAAGTGCAGTTTGATCAATGGTAGCACACACTAAATATGACCAATTTTTATATTTCACATAACCCGGTGCAAAACATCACTGACAGTGGTAAAATGTATTTGAATTATGCAGAAATGTGACACTAATGATATTTATGCCAAAATTAGCAGCTCTATCGGACTGACTAGCATTTTCCCCTCAGAAACACACCTGAAAATGATCCCTTTGTTCTTCATATCTTGAAAACAAAAATCTACCACACAAACATTCACCTAAATAATGTGCATCTTCTGAAGCAAATCAGTGAAGCAAATAAATATCTAAATAAATAAAACAAACATAAATAAAAGTGAAAGGAAATAAAGTACCATAACACCAGCATTCTAGCAATAATATACAAAGACTTAAAATGCAACAGTACTTTTGGCTTTGCTTATCTGCTGGAGAGAAAACATACAACAGATAAGAAGCACAAAAGATAAACTAAACACCTTTTAAGAACATTCATTAAAAATCCATGGCAACACAGTGGAACAGTAAAGTAATACAGCAAAACAGCACTGACAGTATGTTATGTAATTTCTACTAGTACATATAGACAGGGTGTGATCACCCCCCTGTGATCATCTGTCTACGAGTCATCAATCCCATAAAAGGGCGAGGCAGGCAGTGGTTCATAGTTCATCAGATTGCACAATTAATGGAAATTAATAGAAATGATGCTTCTATCAAAATAACAAAGTAAACGTGCGAATAGCAATAAAGCCCAAATGGATGTTGAATAGTGGAGCCCTTTGTTCAAAAATAAATGGGAGCAAAAGTGACTGAATATATACAGTTATGTCTCGTTATTTTATTAAAAAAATAACTAACGATTTATTTTGCATGATCTTGCATTCCTGGCAGGCTGACAGAAATTAAGAAATTACTGTCATTATAGATATCCAATCTATTTATTCAAAGTTTCTCAAGATCAAATAATAATTCATAATTATTCTATAATTCTTAATGTAACAGCTGAAGCGTGTGAAAGGCTGGACGAGTCTTTGCGTTCCTCTGGCCACAGATTGGAATTTAACAGGGACTTGGGGCAAAAATGCTATCAAATTGGACAAAAACGCCCCTGCACAATTAAACTAAATCCATTACGGCTGTTGCGAATAAAGTGAAAATTTAAAAAAAAGTGTCGATTGCGGCATTAAATTTAGATCTGCATCATGCATTTAGATGTTGCATCACATTTCTTTTTAAGTGTTTTTACAGTGTTGCGCATTTTAACCAATCACACATGGTTCTGTTGAGCTTACTGGATCAAAGTCCCTTTAAGGCAAGCCATGTCACTCGGAGGCAATCTTTGAAATGCCTCTCGGACATGCAAGTGCAGTTCCTATCTCTTTGAATGGGGAAACATCAAATTCTCCAAAACTGTTCGCTATGCTTAAGATTAATTTCATATTGGAAAACACCAATGAAATCTGACAACTGTCTCATAAATGTTGTTTCTTTTGCTCAAATAGCGTTAAAAAAAGGCTTATTTTTCAGGCTAGACCAGTCAGTGCGCATGCGCATTCCTAAACGCAAGTCTCAGAATGCTGACTGTTTCTATAGCAACCAGGACTTCTAACAGCTGCAGTGACGCGCTGACTTTACCGATTAGCGATTGGCTCTTTTACTCAGAAGGCGGGGCTTAGTTCGATAGAGCGGCCATACTGAGCATTGCATTTTTCCCCATTCAAAACTATACGAGTGACACGTCTTGGGTATTCTATAGTCTTTGATTGGATGCAATAGCGAATCAGAAGCATTCAGATGAGTCATCGCTGAAATGCTGGAGTTTATTTCAGTGCGCATGCTCTCTGACTGAATTCTGCTCACTCACGAATTCTCTCATCATAAACAACAAAGTGCAGATGTACTTACATTGGGCCTCATTCATGAAACACGAGCAGAACGATTTTTTGTGTAAATCATTCGGAAAGTCGTTCTGATGTAAATTTTCGGATTCATGAAAATGTTCGTATTTTGAAAATGTTAGTTGGTACGAAAGAAATTTACACCTGTTCCCTACCATGTGTAAATGGTGCATAAGTTACTGCATTTTTATATTCAGTAATATTCTTCAAAATAAGATACTCCTAACATGTTACATGTAAACAACGCGTCACTCCAGAAAAATGCAGTGCCTCCAAAGCTCTCTCAAGCACCACCAGCTGGTCGTTTTCAAAAGAGCACCAGGCATTATGTCAGCTGGCTAAAAACGTTCTGGTGGACACATGTTAATTTATTCATTTATTGTTAGGCATATAGCCTATTAGTCTCTTATGCATTTATGCTATATAACTTACCAAACCTGAGAATTGAGTCCAAGGATTCCACACCATTCCTAGATACGTAATTTGCGTAGCTGTGAATGAGCGTGCATGCACGCCCTATTTACGAATGATTGGAATTCATTAACATAGTGCATGCACGCCCTATTTACGAATGATTGGAACTCATTAACATACACACATTTAACTATCAAATCTGACCTTTACGAAGTATTTGTGAATCCGGAGGAGAGTTTTCGGGAAGGTCCGTTTTACGCATAAATTACTCAGAATTTACTCATATATTTACAAATGTTTCATGAATGAGGCCCATTGTAAGTAAGAGATTCATTCATCATACAGTGTATAGACAGCTTCAGTGTTTATAACGGGAGTTTTTTGAGAGTTCTTAAACTTGCACTAGACTGAAGTCAGTGATAATATTCTTTGATAATGTAGCCTAAATGTTCTTTGCTCACTTTCTCTATATAATTTATTCGTTGAAAAACCATGGAAATTAAATCGTTACAATTAACAGGCCTAACTTACAATGTTTTTATTAAATTGTGATCATGTCAATTACAAATTCAGTCATATTAAAAATATTTTATGACATGACAACTATATCTGGTACTTGCCTAAAAAGACATGTACGTTTTGTGTTGTTAACGGATTACACTAGCATTAGGGTTCTTAGGCTACAGCCTTATCCTGGAGTTGGGTCAACCTTTGCCTTTGTAAAAAAAAGTTTTCAAAAGTATCCCCCTGCATATAAATGTGTGTGCTACTGAACGCATAAATCAATAAAAGGAATGTTTGGTTACAACAGGGTTGCATTAAAACCACAAATGACTATTCACTTTGTACATCATGGTGCATCATGATATTTGCTATGTCAGTCTCATTCTTTATGTATACTAAAATATGAAATACAGCAAGATAAAATTTTGTCATGCATACAGGGATGAAATACAAAATCTGCAAAATACAGACTCTGGAACATTTGATTAATTTCTGGATTTCAGTATATAAAAATAACTGGAATTTTAGAAGAGCTGAAGTGGCATGCTGGCTCATTGACTCCTTGTGGAGAGTCAGTTAAGCAGAGAAAATGTCATATGTTAGTGCAAAATCATGTGACACTGGAACAGTAGCTATGGAAACCATGTGCTATACCTGCAGTCAGCTTCTCAGTATAGATAGAGATCTCTATATAAAGATGGCAATTACCTGCATAAAACTCTCCTGTTCTGTTTTTTTCATCTCTGTTTCTCTTTACATTTCCAATACTGTTATCTGCTCCCAAGCATCAGCTTAATAACACGAGTTAACCAGGAATTGTAAAATGATTCATGGATGTTAAGCTGGTATAACTCAAGAGAGATTCAGTTATTCTGCTTATATTTTGACTGTTCTGTGAGTCTGCATGCTGCATATTTTTTTGACAGACACCAACTGCATAATTTCGCAGTCTCTCAAATAAGTACACAGTCCAGTATGTCTCTCTGAGGTGGTGTTAGAGTGGACAGTGAGGCTGAGAGAAGATGAGTTATAGTGTGGTTAAACCACAGTGTTGGACATGGTGTTAAGAGTGTGAGTTGAGGCAAAAGGGTTATATCACTCATATGTGATGCATACCTTAGTCCTTCTGTCTCGATCGTACACTCACACTTGTCTAACTAGCAACAACAGGATGCCAGTTTTCAAAAGCCAAACATTTTTTATGCCACATTTTGTTTACGCAGTCTTACGTTTCACTAGTCTACTTGCATGCCTCTCAGTCTCTCCTTTTCCTCTCTCTCTCTCTCTCTGTCATTCACTGTAGGTAGGGGCATTCAGGGGTGAGTGGTCCACATAAGCACAGTGAGAAGCACACTAATGTGGCTTTTTGAGGTCACTGAAGCACAAGGGCTAAAGGTAAGACCATTCTGCACGTATGTGTTTTGCCCAAATCTTCAATGCATGCGTTTTCTGTCTAGCTAAAAGTGTGGAAGACAAAGGTACAGAACAAACAGAAGCGTAGGGGATGCCGGGAGGAGAAAGCAGAGGGTAAACAAGCTACCACTTACAATTCTAACCTTTAAGTGTGGAGCACATTTACCTCAGTGAGGCATTGACACAGGAAGGTAGAAAAGAAAATGAGGTATACAAGAAGAAAAAAAAATAAAATAAAAACCAAATGTCAGCCAAAGTGAGGCGTCTGTGACACTGAGTGCTTGAGGAACGTTTCACTGGGGGCAGCTAAAATCATTTCAGAGTCATTTCACCCAGCCCTACAGTTGTCCGGAAGATGGAACATGTTACTATTCTTAAACCTCTACTACAGACATTATGAGGACAAAAAATTATATTCCGGTGTTTGAATTCCAATATTTGT